AGGAAGGGGAATGCAGAAATCTGTTCCTGCGCAAAGGCAGGTTCAGAATTGCAAAGTATAACTGTGTCAGGAAATACAAAGTTAAATTGCCCACAGCCATGTCAGTTCTCCTTAACTTGGACACGCTGTGGATATTAAAGTGTGTGGTGAACAGCATCACCTCGGAGCCCCGTCCTGCCTCCCACGTGTGGCCAGCTGAGCACGGCTCTGGGGCTGTAACTTGGGCATTTCCTCATTTTTGTGCTTTGTGACTCTGAGGCTGTCGGTTGGACTGCCTCCGACACGCATGTGGGGTGCACACACCCTCCCTCTCTACCGCTCCCCCTTTCTGTCCCTTTGCTTTTTAATTCTCTTCCCAGGGTGTAAGGAAGGGAATTATGCTTAAATCATTCAAAATACATCCATGACTAGATCTGAGGTTGGGTTTTCATCTGTTGTAGTTTATAGGAGTATCAAGTTCACTTGACCTGTAATTAAGTTTCTTTTCTATCACTTGGACCAGGACTGAATAACTGTGACACTGTCTTCTCATATGCACAGCAGTCAATAAGCTGGATGATGAAGTAAGTGGTGAACTTAGGAACATTTAGCATAAGGAAGGTCGTTTATTCTCCCAGGGGGGTAGGGGGATTTGGTAGATAAGTGCTGTAATCATAATCCCTCCATGTCCATTTGGCTTGTAGTCACTCTGATTTATGAAATCACCATGCAAAAGGTCTTAATTTTAGAAGCCAATAATTGCTGGACTGATCAGAGATGACAGTGGAAAAAAGCAGCACACCCAATTCCTGAAAGGAAAAAGATTCCCCCAGAATGAGATCACTTGGTGTGTGTGTGAAATGGGGGAAGTACCTTTTGCTGACACGCTCTTTCTCTTATCTAGCCAAAGTACTACGGCATTCCAACAAAAAATGGTTTAGCATTCCTCTTCTGGAGGTTTACATGGTTATTGAATGCTTTGTATTTGATAGTGTGCTTCAGTGTTTATCAAACATTTCAGGAAAATGTGGCTATTTGATCCCTAGCGGCAAAGTAATAATCCCGTGGCTGTCAGTGAATTCAGATAAAAAGTTTAGACTTGCTAAGTTAGAATAACTTGTGAGTAGCGGCCCAAAGTGGGCTTTGGCTTTTAACTTGCTTGGCTAGCGGGCATCTGTCAAGCTGGGGACCCTTGCCCGAGGACCGATGTGCCGTCCCTGTCTGCTGGTCCACACCAGGTCACGTCACCTGCTCTTTCACAGTTTAATACTGGTGCTTTCTGTGGTGCACATTAGCTTAGCCCCTTCTGGCCCCCCAGGGGAGCTCACTCCAGCTTCTGCTTTAGCTCCATCGACCAGCAGACGCCGCCCACCCCACCCAGCCTCGCCTGGGCAGCCGGCCTGGGCAGCGGGCTCCTTCAGATGCTCCTTGGTGTTTCCAGCATCACGTTTCCCTCTCACGCCCCCACCCCTGCCCAGCTGCCAGAGGACCCTCCTCTCACCCATGGAGCCAGGGCGACCAGGGCCTCCCTTCTCACCGCCGGTGCCAGTTACCAAGGAAAGGTGGCACTTACGGAATTGGGGCCATTTTTTTGAGCATTGCAGAAAAATAGAGAAACACCTGTCTTTCCAAGGCTTTGGCATGGAGTAGTCTGGGGACCTCTGTGCCACGTCGGATTTGCTGCCCCTCCCTGCGTTACACACCAGGTGAAGAGCCCTGTGGCATTTTCTCCGGTGTACAAAGCCTCCTGGCCACTCGGCCACAGCCTCCCCAGTCACGGAAAGCAAGAGCTGTGTGGCCGCCTCCCATCCGGGGCCTCCTTAGCGCCATCGTGTGACCGCTGCCCGCCGAGGTTAGGTGTCCATCCAGCTTGTTCTTTGAACCCGAAAAATAAGTAAAAATCATATGTTGATTCATTTTCTCTTCATGTCTCAGTGGTTAGCCCTGTTGCCCCCATCACCATGTCTAGAAGAGTCCAGCACGACTTTTAGAGTCTCCAGGGACTGCCCCTGTCTGTCTCAGGTGGCACCGAGAGATGACGAGTGAGTGAGTACGTCCGCTAAGGAATGTTCGATCTCTGATTCCCTGTACTTACTGCGATTTTGAAAGTGGATCCCGCTGAGAAGTATAATGTTCTTCATACTGCACTTTGTGTTCTGAGCTGTGTTAAAACTTTTGGAGGATATGCCCTCTCTGGTGGCGCAGCAGGTTAAAGCACAGCACTAAGAAGCTCAAGCCACTTCCGCATGAGTTCGATTCCCGCCTGCCCCGGAGGTGACCACATGGCGCGGCAGACCTCTCCTGACCCGCCCGCTGCTCCCCTCAGCAGTGTACTTCGTCGATTTGCCTGTTCTGCTGCCCACTCTGTCTCTGGTGAAGCTTCTCGCTACCCTTAAGCCTCCGGCCTGTACCCCAGTTCTGTGTGCACAAATAAATAAATCTTTAAAAAACAAAAAAAAACTTCAGGAGGATAGAGGAGTCTGGATGCCATCGTCTCAGCTCGCAGTAAACCGCAACTCTTTAATATTTCTCAACCTTTTTTGGGGGGGTAAGCAGGGGGCCTATCACAGTTTTTGATACACAAATTTCACACCTGACATTCCCAGAGGCCCTTTCCAAACCTTGATAGCAGAAGACACATTTTTCCTATGGCCCAGAGAGTGGGACTGTACGTACTCTAGTTTACATCTTAAAATACATTTTATTTTCTAATGATGCCTAAAAAATTGTTATGTTCTTCTAACTGCAAATCACATGTCCTCCCTCTTCATATCCTGACGTGAGCCATCCCCCTCCCCCACCCCTCCACACACACAGAGCTTAAAAATCAGTGATTTGGAGAAAAATAGCTTTCCTGGTCCAGGTCCGGAGGGTCTGTTGCTCGCTGGCTGCCGTCTGGGTCTTGCTATTGTTTTCCCATTCTGTCCTCCGCCTGGGAATGGACGGCCTGCTTGGCTGTTTCCACTCGGGCCTCAGCAGAGAAGGCAGTATCTGGTGAGGAGCTAAGGTTTCAGAGCCGTCTCTGGCCAGAGTCTTTCCCTGTGGGCAGGGGGCGGCCAGGCAGCCCCTTGAACTTCAGCTCATTAAAGTCTGCTTGTCCTCAGTGGGTCATTTATTGAGTCAAGCATCTAGTCCTTTTCCTTTCCAGAAAGAATTAACATCTACGCTGGGATCATTGCTGAGAGGGAAGATTTTTATCTTTTCTCTGTGGGATCAACTGTCCCCAGTTGTTATCCGAGTTGCGCTTAGGGATGGAGTTTGGGGTGCGCCGAGATTCCCCAGATTTATAGGTAATGAGAAGAACAGGTTGTGTGAAGACGCCACGTGTGGGAACTAAGTGTACTTAGGGGATGTGTGAACCTGTGATCGTTGGCTCTTTCCAAAATGAGCATTGCAGCCTTGTCCTCATGAGGCTGTTTTAGCATGTGGTTTTGCCGCTATGGTGCTTGAAAACGGAGCACAAGGCCTTTTCTTCCCTGCTGGTCATTTGGCGGAGGGGGCGGGGGGGGGGGGCTGATGACTATCGGCGGCAGCATTCTCAGTAGTGGCCCGTAGCAGCGAATGTGACTGATGGTGTCTGTTTACTGGGGCACCCCCAAGGAGACACCGTTTCTTCTCCCTGTACCCGGACAGGACCCTGGTACAACCAGCTCTTCCCCTCAGAAGCACTGAGCTTGGTGGAGCTCCTCGATGCCTCATCGGTGGTTGGTAGCTCCATTTTCCCGGACAGCTCGAACCAGTCCATCAGCTGTTTCTGAGGGGTGGACACTGACTTGACTCTTCAAATGACAGACTTTGAACTCTTGTTGAGCTTCTCTGATGTCAGGGGTGCGTGAGGCTGTCTCGGGCTTTGGCTGGGGTCTTGGCTGCCTGTACCAGGCAGCACTGCTGGATTTGCTCTCCTTCCTCCTGTGTCCTGTCCCCAGATTCCTAAAAGACTGGAGCTGATGTAGCCCCTCGCCCAATGTTACAAACCCCAGGGGAGGCGTTGGCCAACTGCTTCCCCTGAGACAGACGGAGACCGGCCGAACAGCTGAGAGCAGAAGAGACTGGAGCACGTTCTTTTACTGGGTGCTTGGGGGGGCAGTCGGGGTTTCTGTTGTTGGTTTTCATGCCTCTGGCTGATTCCCGAGAGTGCAGTGGATTGCAAGGCATTGAGGTCTGGGGGAAACGTGAGCCGAGCACCGTCAGTGACGGAGCCTGGAGAGCAGTAGCTTGCCTACCTCTGCCAACCCACCCCCTTTTGCTCACCTGTTGGATGAGTAACAGACCCTTTCACCTGGGGTAGCCAGTAAGATGGTATCCACAGCAGCCAGCAATTGTAGCATTTCTGCCCTCTGTAAGGCTCCTTTGCTGCTCCCCTCTCCCCATGGGCCCACTTTGAGATCCTCGGTTGCTAAGTGGGTACCAGTACAGGCAGGTCATTCTCTGGCGGGGGTCAGAGCCCACCCCCTGCCTTGCATGTGGAGGTTATCCCAGCACTGTGTCTTCAAAATACAAGAGGATGGGTGTGATGGAGTGTTTGTATTCCGGCCTTGTTCTGGGGCGTTGTGGAGAGAATGTGGCAACCTGACAAAGAGACTAAGCAGCTACTCAAGGAAATGAAATTTTCAAATCCTTGAAAATCCTTCCATGGATGTAGTAAAAGTCCCAGGTGGGTCTAATGTGGCTTATATTCCCTGCACTGGTCAGATCTTCCAGGGGCTTCACTGCAAGCCCCCTGATTTTCCTTTCTCAGTGCCACTCAAGCCCTATGCAACACTTTTTTTTTTTCCCTTGACTTTGCGGTTAGTGGTAAAAACAGGTAAATTATAATACTCTGCCTGCTGTACAGGAGGAAGTGACTGCTCTACAGACATTTGCAAATGCCCTTTATGAGGTGAGATGGTCATGTTCTGTTGGTGATGACATGTGTGGAAGGTTCCAGAACAGTGGTCTGTCCTAGTGACAGTGTGAAGCTGCTGCACAAGGATTGTTATGCAGCCTTGCAAACCAGGGTGCTGTATTCTTTTTCTTTCTAGCTTCAAGAGGCTGACATTGTGGTCCTAGGCTCAGCCAAGCCGGAGGAGGTTCCCCTTTCCTGGATACAACCAGAAACCATTGTTCTCAACTGTTCACATGACTTCCTCTCAGGTAAATATCTTACTATGGGTCCTGGGCTGCTGGTAAAAATATCAGGTAGTTGCGGCCCTCCCTGGTGGCGCAGCGGGGGAAAGCACAGCACTGAGAAGCTAAAGCCACTTCCCCATGAGTTCGATTCCCGCCTGCCCCGGAGGTGACCACATGGCGTGGCAGACCTCTCCTGACCCACCCGCTGCTCCCCTCAGCAGTGTACTTCATAGATCTGCCTGTTCTGCTCCCCACTCTGTCTCTGGTGAAGCCTCTCACCGCCCCTGAGCCTCTGGCCTGTACCCCAGTTCTGTATACACAAATAAATAAATCTTTAAAAAAAAAATCAGGTAATTGCTGGTCATGTTCACCTTGTTTGCTCGGAGGACAGGATGTTCCCAAAGTTCTTGTGCTGGCCACCTGCACACAGTGGACAGGAAGCTTAGCGTGTGCAGGTCTCTGCCCTGGGTTAGCCGGCAGGTGAGCCAAGGTGCCCTGTAGTGTCTGCCTCTTCCCCCACATCGAGTGCTCAGGTCCACTTTGACGTGAAGTAGATCATGTGTATGTGTGAGGTAAACAAGAAATAGTGGTTTCGCTATTGTTTCTTTCTTTTTCTTTTCAGAACAGTGTTTATTGCACTGCATTTTCATTAAAAACAACTCATCCCCTACATCTCTTCCTTCTGGCCCATTGCCCCTTCTTCCCTCTCCTTCCCTTTTGACTTCCATTTACTAATAGCGACTAGTTTGGTTTTTAGTCTTTTACTTTGTCAGTTCACTCGCTATATAAATGTCCAGTCTCTGTCTCTGTCGTTTATTCTATAAATGACTGTTTCATCTTTCCTGATGACTGACTCATCCCTGATTTTTAAAAAGCAGAAAAATTCATTCTCAAAAAAAAAAATCTTGGGGTGATCACGTTTGGGACCTTTTTAGATTGCATCGGAATCTAAAAGTCTGTAAACATAGATGAGAGCAGTTGCCGGCAGGGATAATATGAATTGAGCTGAGAGATCACAATCATCTTTTTTCTAAGAACAGTTTGGGGTCATATTGACCTTCAGCTGAGATTATAACATTTATTATTCTTAAAATCAATCTATTAAAGTTAAAACAGGTACATAAATTCATAAAATTTAAGACTAACATTACTGTATTTACCACAGTGAAGATTAGCTAAAATGAAGTCTCTTTAACCCTAATTACTATTTAATGACCTTCATTCTCATTGAGACATCCTACAGGTGAAAGAGGGTAAAGTCGATTAAGTAAGAGAGCGATGAGATTTGGGTTCCTATGGGCAGTAAAAGAACTCTGGTTATTTTGTAACATGTTCTATTACTGCCTACTTTTACAGTATCAATTTTGTTATAACAGCCAATTGCTTTTATTAATCAGTAAAATTATTAAAATTGTAAAATTACTTTTGACTTCAAGAGGAATTTTCCGTGCTGGGGCAGCACTTGCTTGCCTGGGCCAGGCAGTGCCTTATGAGGCTGAGGCAATCCAGTTGTAAACTTATGGTTGCTCAGAATATTTTGATATTATGATTATACAAAAAAGGGAGGTCATAACATAAGTTAGCATGGAAATTCTGATTTTTCAGAGCTTTTCCCTTCCATCCGGAATTTGTCAGTCGACAGAAGTTGCATAGCTCGTGTCATGAAGTATCTCAGAACAATGTGTGGTCAGCGTCCCTGACCTCCAGGCCCTCTTTACAGTAACACCAGCTGGGCCAGCCGAGGGGCAGCCTCTTGCAGTTCACAGGTACATCCCCTGAAGCTGAGAACGCTCTGAACCACTCCCAGCCCAGCTCTTCAAGTCCCCGAGAACATGTGTGAGGGACCCTGGCATTGGGAACAGCCTCTTCAGGTGGCAGGCGGGCAGCACCTCCCCCCAGATCTAGTCAGCATGGTCAATGGCCTCTGTTCTTCCACCCCTGCTGACTCCATGTTTGTGTTCTAGATCCTGAGCTCCAGGAGGCCCCACCAAGGGTGAAACAGATTAAAAGGAAAAAAAAAAAAGCACAATTTTATTGGATCATAATAGAAGGAAAAGAACATTAACATGGTTACTTAATATGCTACTCAAAGCATTACTGAAATTTCTGTGATCATTTCTTGAAATAGAGAAATAGGAAAAGTAGCTCCTGTCCGAATTGAACCATAAGATCCACTGTGATGATCACTGTGAAGCCCCAAAGCCGTGGGGGCTGAGCCATGTGAGTTCTGCCTGGTGCTCAGAATGTGGGTGTAAGAGAAAGTCCGAGAGAGGAAGCTGGGTGAGGGCTGGTAAGGCCGGGGGAGCTATGGCCTGAGGCAGCCAAATACCTCACCTGCTCCGTGGCCCCTGTAAGTGGATGGACAAGATTCCAATCTTAAATAACCTAGGAAAATACATCAAAAGAAAGCCCTTTGGGCTGAAGGAGGGGGTGGGCAGGACAGGTAGGGGTAAGGCAAGATGCTCAGGAATTTCCCATAAAGCTCACGGGCTCAGCTTTTGTACAACTCACAGACGTGAGCCACGAGAAGTGCAGTGTGAGCCACAAGTGGGATTATGGAGGTTCGGAGCAGTGAGAAGACCCGCGCTAAGTAACTTCTTTGAGATAGATGTCATGTGGGGAGATGCACTTTTTCTTTTTTTCTAAAGCACTACTTCCTGACTGATACATGGTGGGCTCAGGCACGTGGCTGCAGTGCACAGAATCCCAGCTAGATTAGATGGGCATTTAGGACACTTTCTTGAGATGATTTATCCTTGGCAGCCTCCTGGCGCTCCTTAATTAGCATCTATCCATTTGAGCCCAGCCCTGGAAATAGGGAAGTCTATTTTCATATTCATTTGGGGACCTCCTCAAAAGCTGTGATTATAGGAAAGTGACATTTTATTAGGGGATGCTGCCTTAGTTGTAGTAAGTTTCTTTTTATAAACTTTATTTTAAAACACTCTTAAAAATCGGCCCTCCCTGGTGGCGCAGCGGGTTAAAGCACAGC